GGGCAGCTACATCTCATCCGGTGGACGCATCACGAATGAAGTGTCAGCTCGCATACAGAAGGTTCGGTTGGAATTTGCCAACTTGAGACATCTGTGGCGCCGTCGCGACATCCGGTTGTCTGTGAAGGGTCGAATGTATGCCGCCGCAGTTCGGCCAGTTCTGCTATGTGGAGCAGTTGGCCATTAAGAAAACAGGATAAAGATAGACTGTCGGTGTTTGAACACCGCTGTCTACGTAGCATTGCACAAATCTGGTGGGGTAACCGGACTTGCAATGCTGAGATCAGGCGAAAAGTTTTAGGCAACTGCGGTTGCCCACTGGAGCGAGTGGTCGATCTCCATACATTACTTTGGTTGGGGCGTGTTACGCATGTCACCAAATAGGTTGCTACGGCGAGCGATGTTTGCCGAGGCAGGTAGTGGGTGGAATAAATCCCAGGGTAATCAAGCTAAGACCTGGCATGAGGGTATGAAAACCCTAACCAGGAGTTTAGGTCACACAGGTTCCGTTAGGCTCCCTGGCTGGGGACCTCGGGATGGTCGTACCCGATGGTTAGAGACACTGAATGACATGGCTGGGTGTCATAAACAGTGCCGTTCGTGCATCTTTTCAATTTCTCTGTATCATTAGTCCACTGAACTTTTCAATTTTCTCTTCGACTCTACCTTCAACTTTCCTGTTCTCCTATTATTCATCCAAATGGGCATCCGAAAGATAACAACCGAAACCGTCGCATGAAAGTGCATGATTAATGGTTGTTCGACCTGAAAACTGATTTTTCATGTCTGTAAGAATTGTGGCACCAAAACGACTTTTTACTTTTTGGATGATTGCGTTAAACACATGTTTCTGTTTCTTTTTTATTTGTCCATTCTCCCATATTTGAAATTTCCAGATGTCCAGTAAAAAGGAACAGGAAAAATTGCAAGCCGAGCGACACCAACTTATAATACAGGAGCTGCTGCGAGACGAAGATAATAAATATTGCGTAGACTGTGACGCCAAAGGTTCGTGTTTGCTCCCACTGGTGTAGTATTTTAGGTCCTCGTTGGGCGTCCTGGAACATTGGCGTGTTTCTGTGTATTCGATGTGCCGGTATACACAGAAACCTTGGCGTTCATATTTCCAAAGTTAAATCAGTTAACCTGGATGCCTGGACTTTACCGCAGCTCGCGGTATGTTGTGATTTTCCCTGTATATTTTTCTCTCCAGATGATGCGGGAAATGGGCAACAGTCGTGCTCGTGCTATTTACGAGGCAAGACTGCCGGACAACTTTCGAAGACCACAATCCGATTCAGCCTTGGAAACTTTTATCCGGTCTAAGTACGAACAGAAAAGATATATTGCGGCGGAATACGTTCCCATAAAACCGGATTTAGATGCGTTGTTGAAAGTACGTTTATTTTTCGGAAAACAAAATAAAACCGCCTTATTTTCTAATCGCGATTCACTCTAGCTATCTGATTCGCTGAAGAAACTTACCCGAATTACCCTCAGACACTTCATTTTTTTATTGCACACATTTGTGTGGTGAATAGCAGACGGGGTGAACCCCTTAGTCACGAAGATCTGCTGCTCCGTCACGTAGCGCTCTCGGCTACTGTCGGTTTGTATCCTCTTTGTTGCACCCTCAACTTCTTTGACTGTAAAATGTGCTGCAGTTAGTCAGTCATGCACGCTTCTATGCCACGTTCAAGTTAGACCCATTCAAGTCACTCAATCGCTCACACTGTATTTCTTCAATTCCACTCTCATTTAGTTTCTTCGATTAGTATATTTGAAAATGAGCAATAAATTGGCTTCTGAAAAGCGTAAAACTGAGCCTTATACCAGCACCGCAAAGTAATCGTTCGTTTAAGGTTCTATCACTCAGAACCGGGTAAAAGTTGAACTTCCAGGATCTTACTTTGTGGCTACGATCGAGTAATGCAGCTCGCAAATTAATAGAGTTGTATTTTACTTTAGGACTTATCATTTACAGGGTGTAACTTCTGTTCACATTAGGATCGCACGCCCCGGTCACTCAGGGCATCATATGTAATCGGGAACGACTGCTCCCACTATATTCTAACGTAAGCTAATATTCCCCCTCTCGACAGGTTTAGAATGAGACTTTTCTAACTTCATGGAGGGACAGTTTCACTGTCGTCTGGCTCAATATCACACCCATCTCGACAGGGCCTCACATGGTTCGCCATTCCAAGTTCTAAGGCTTAGGTTATTGGTGCTGAAGAATGAACAACAGGTTCTCCTGACTATGGTCCTCACCCCACTGTACTCTTCATCCCAGAGATATTTAATTTTCCAGGCCGGGATTAGTAGTTTTTTATAATTAGTTGTTTTTACTTTATTTTATTAGGTTCCTTAATTCTTTTCATTAATTACATAATGGTGCAAACAATTTTTCCGGAAGGGGGAAGCGACCAGTCAAAGGGTCGCCACAAGATACACAGAGAACGGAGAGTTAAACCGCGTTAGTAGGGTTTGAATATACAACCACCGGGGCGAAAGGCTGTCAACCTTCGTCATATAGCCGCTAAGGATACCAATATTCTTAGTCATTGGTCACTATCAAACAGCCTTGTGTACGAGATACCATTTTTTGTTAAACCTCACTTTCACACCGCATTAGTTCGATTGGACCTATGGTGTTGTACATAAATGTGAGGATTGTTTGTTCACGACATAGTGCAATGATTTTTAGCTAATCAAACCTAGTCAATACTTAAATCACTTGTGGGATGCTAGGTCATGGAGTTGGCAGATCGGTTTAAGCTCTCTGATATCCATTGATTTTAATGTTCACAACTTCTGCTCCACATCTCCTCGGAAAGAATTCATCAGCGGTTATTGTTTTGCGAAGCAGATTGTGACAAGAGTCGGGTTTATAAGTCATTCCTTACTGACTGTACAGTTTAGAAAGATGTAAAGTTAAAGTCTACGAGGGGCATTTTTTGTCGTTCGATGGGTTGATTGTTTGTGCGAACATTTGTGCTGGGGTGCCAACTTGTTGTCCAACCCCCCTTGAATTGTCAGTGTTATACGTTTTTCTTTTTTTCAATGTTTCATCATCGTTTTTCCACAAATGAAAAGTCAGAAGATAAAAAAACAATGTACTATAAAACTCGGTCAACAATCGGAAAGATTGTTTTACAAACTGACCTTTCGAGCACCTTTTTGGAGGCGATGAGTGAAGAGAGAGTTTTAATTTCAAAGGATGTAAACATGACATGAAGTGCTTTTGCATGTGTTCCAAATGCTTCAAAAGTACTTTTTATTTCAATCAATTTGAGCTACCGGCTGGGATAAGCCAGACCCATGTGACATGAATAAACTCTTCAATTAGTATTTAACTAAATATTTCCATTCACGAGTACAAATATTTCAGTATCAATCCACCAAAAGAGAATTCGGAACCTTTCACTATAAACATGAGGGATGCTCAAACCCCTTTTCTGTTTGATGTATAAGCTTGCTTGATGTACAAGTTCACACTCACATCACACTTTTCTTTTCCGTCTACCACCGGTAAATACAAAGTCATCGATATTCGATTCGTGATTCGCCCTATGCAAGTTAGCTTACTTTTTCCCACTGTAACGGTGAACCTATATTTTCTGACTGAAAAGTACACACAAGTCATTAAATACAATTCGATTCGACCAAATTTAAAATCCTATGGTTAGATTTGTCCATCGAAACTCATAGACACGAGTCACTGCGTGTGATTCTCCTTGTGTTTTCCTTCGCAAATTGAAGGCCTGTTGTGTAGTTCCCCGTCAGTATTTGTAGGATCCCATAGGGGGAGGGGTTATGCCGCTTTCGAAGCGTATGTGCAAGAATAAAACTCCGAACCAAGTTACGTATGTGGAGCAGAACACCGGCATTTTTGCTGGCTTATATGCTCGTTTCGGTTAGTTGCGTAATGACGCTCCAATTTGGTTTCTAATGCTCCTTTACTGGTCGGATTTTTTTTCATCTTCCCAAACCGTTTGATGCAGAGTTATGAACACCATTACCAATTGTTTGAACTCGAGTAGGAGACACTGGTTCATCTGCCTGTTTTGTCTCACCGAATGAAGTGATCTACCTAAATAATAATTCAAATTTAACCAAACCTTTGATCTGATTGTGTTCTTGAGCCATCATGTGCATACATGAGGATCGTGCAACTGATTTGCGATTTCTTCGCGCAGAATAATTTACGCAATACTGATTTTGAGCTTATCATCGTTCACGCTTTACCTCATCGTTGCGTTTATATTTGAGCTCTATGGCGCAGTTTTGGCCGACAATTTTTTTCATCATTCACCAAAAGAACTATCTAAAATAACGTATAAGAAGTACAAGATAAATATTTTGGAATGTCAACCGTACGGTTTATTTCATCTTTTCCTCAGGATTGTGCAACTAGCCCTGCTTTTCATCGGTCCACTGATTAGTTTTTGGTATTGTCGTTTCACCATGGACTTAGTTTTTTTAAGAACGTTCCTCGTTCTACATGTCCGCAGGTAGCTGAATGTGCCTTTATTGTTTCGCCGTGTTGCTCTCTGTTCTATGCCATTATGATTGATGGCCGTTAACTAGTTTGATGAGTTTACTTATGCAAATCATTACCAATTTTGTTTTACATTAGCGCCGTACTCCAGCCACAGTGAGTTGATTTGGAAACACTCCTGACTAATTTGTTTCCTCATTTTCTCTGAATATTTGTGCGGGTCGAGGAGAGCATAATGAGAGCTGATCCGTTGTCACAGTTTCTATTGGGCCTGCCTCCTTTTACTCCGTCGGTTCATCTGGTTTTCTCAAATTATATCCGGTACGCTTGCTTTCACTTACAATATATTAAAATTAATTACGGGCTGGATGCACCTGTAACTGCTCAATCTTTTGTATTTTGTTTTCAATCAGGAAATTCAACGACTAGAACAAAACACGAAGAAGCGACATACTGCCAACGCGGTTACTCTACCACCCGGTCAGACTCAGGCAACCAATGACAGACACCCAACATCCAAGGTGAGGTTCTCTGGTCACTTCGATTGACTTAGATTAGATAAGGCTATTTTTTAGTATCTGGAAAAATGAAAATTTTCATGCTGATAACTTCATTATCCGGTCACATCATTAACTATTCTCTCTCTTACACACACCATACTGGTTATGTTATCATTATCGCAATAATTAAATGAATTTAATTCCGCTAAGCCTAGCTCAGTTACTTACTGCGGTTTTGTCCTTTAATCATGACCCAGTCACTTTGTATTTTATGGTACTTTGATAAGAATATTCCGTCGATCGGGTCATTTTTGGTAATGCACTGTAGGATACGGCATTTCAACGGAGGACCCCCAGAGGAAAGTTTCAAAAAGGTCGACGAATGTCTTCGAGTAGGAGGAGGGTTCTCCATTTCCCACATAAATTAGATCATCCGGAAACTGTTCGACATGAATCGGGAACGAATGTTGACGAACAATTTTTTCTTGAATGCCGATGATACCTCACTGTTCAGATTCTAATCTAACAGTATTGTTAAATTGCATTTGCAGATGTTAGATATTCGATCTGGAGATCCTCATTTATAAATCCCGCGGGCTTAGGTTACCGGTTTCCATCACTGAACAGCAGGTCCTCGTGACCATGGAGCTTTCCCCATTTGCTGTTCATCACACGAAAAGTGTGTAATAAAAAAATCTTTTCAAACCGAATCTTACCGCTGTACTGTAGGATTGCAATTTTCGATCATCTAGATTCCCCCAATGTTTTCCATTTAGAAGAAAATCGTGAAGTACTTAGTTCCACTAATCAAGGCTTCCTCACCGCAACAACTGTATTGGCCATCCTGTGGACAGTGTCGCATACCGATTTTAAACGAGAATTTTGTTTTTGGAAAACACTCACGAATTAGGAAACTACATCTGTGCAACCGTGGGGATGATCGCTCTAAGCTCTTTCAAGTTTCTCTCATTATTGTTTCACTAACCTTATGAGAATACAGTTGGATCGATTTCTACTATTGGCGTGCTAAGCTATTTGCTTTCAAGCACAAATGGCAACTGATAAACATATTCTCAATAGTTTTTGTAATGGCTTCATTGTTGGGCTTCACAGGTAGTCGTGCAACTCAATTAAACCCGTCTCCCGTGAATGTGAGCATAAGTACATTGTTGTATTTCATCAGTCGATAGCAACGGGCTTCTCTAACTTCATTAGATGTTGTCATGACAACATGCATGCATTCAAGCCGCGTATTTTCTCGCTTCTATACTAGGTATGTCGGCCATCCTTGGTGTCAAATAGGATTAGTTTACTTGGATACATAAGATTCTCTATATCGCTCACTTGCCTCCAAACGCATTGAGCGCATGTGTACATGTCAGTGATCATAAAATCAAGGGAGTAATTAAAAGTGAACATTTGATTGTACGGTGTAATAACTCAAAAACAAGATACATCAAAGTGTATGTCAACATCTGGTCAGCAGCTGTTTATTTTACGAGCAGTGTTTGATACCACGTCTAAAAACTCACGTTGATCCATTTTCAGTGAGGGCTGCGATATCATGTGGAGATAATAAACTTTTCGAGAGGTTAACCAACCACTAATTTGTGTTCTGTCGTAGATATGAATCTTCTCGTGATTTTTCATCTTTCCTGACCCAATTCCTTCGGTTCGATCACCACCAACTGATATGTGGTCGCTTTGATTACCGCTTCGCCTACGGTCCTATTGGTGCAAGCACGAGCCTATGCTCAGCTGTCTCACCGAACGTTCGAGCGATTGCCAGCTCAAGAGCTTCGTACAAATGGGGTATACATATACGAAGGCAGCAACCGCACTTACTATAATGAACACAGTGCAGGCGAACATACGTTTTCGGTGA